CACAACGGTAGCATCTCCACATACTTTGGTTATGTTTGCGTACAGAAATATTTTGCAAGAAACACACTTGCACACATTTTTTCCACACACTCGGGCTCAAACTCCTTCTCGCTTTTTTGAAGATGAGGAGGTTATACCATTGGACCAAATACATTAATATATATATATATATATATATATATATAAGTGACTTTTATAAAACTTTATTGAGAAATTTTGTTTGTTGCAAAGGTATGGTAAGTGAGCAAGAAATTCGATTTCCTTGGCATTTGGAGCATCATATATACCAACAATTGTATTCCTTTTATAGCATTCAGCTAATCAATTTTGTGTGGCAAAAAAAATATGGATGTAAGAGCTGAACATAAAGCCATTTTTTGGATGGTCCAATACAAGAAGCTAGCTGATTTGGTTCCATCAATTATCAACTATACATGTGACAAAATCATTTTTCAAAAGCAAACGAAGGATTCATGTTTGAACAAATTACCAAAAAGGGATATATATATATATAGTTGTGAAAAGGAACTTCTGACCTCACTTTAAGAAGTAGAGGTCTAGTACTGCTTGGTCACTAACCCCGTTGGTTACTTTGTAAATAAATGTTATATATATATATATATATATATATATAAAAGAATCACCTGTGATACTAGTTCCAAATTATGAAATTTATTCATGATACGTATCACGGCTCAAAGTATTTGTATCCCCATTATTCTAAATTCAAAATATGGGGAAAATGTTCTCGAGTTGAGAAAGACGAGTAAACTTGATTCAAGTGAACAATTAGAGAAATATGAGTGTACTGTATGGGATGCTCCAAATTTCTTAGCTAGCCAAATTAATCAAAGAAAGTTTGATTCATGAGAAAAGATGGAAAGATATTCCAAACATCCAAATTAATGATGATGAAATGGTGTCGATCAGTGAGCTCGAGTTCTCATTGTGGATGCATGGACGGGCGGCATTTGGATAAGCTATTTGTGGTCATTGTAGAGCAAGCTAGCTAGCTACTCGAGGACGTTCACTCTCCACATTTGGACCACCATTATTCCAACAAGTACGTCTATTCCTTGTGTTGCAAAAAAAACAACGCATCCATGTCTAAGCTAAGCTGTCCATAATTAAAGCCTTCTATAGATGGTCCCTGATTTGTTTCCATCAATTATCAGAAGCATTTTTCAAAGGACAGCAAAGGACACGAGACCATCCCAATTCATGTTTGAGCAATGCTTTAACCTCATAATTCTAAAAATCCAAAATTCTTAACGGACAAAGCAACAAAACGTGAAAAGCATTGGTTTCCCCTTATAGGAAAATAACAAAAAACAATGGGTCTACCTTATCCTTCTATTTTTGAATTTTTTGTATTTTTTTTCCTCTTGGAATGTAAGAGATTGCACAATAACGTAACCACTGCCACCTTGGATGTTATAGTATATACTAACACTACCTGTTAAAATATTTAAAAATTAAAGAGATAAATTAAAAAAGAAACAACAATGCACGTGGTTCAGTTCAGCCTATCTTTTATTATGATAAGCAACGTTGACAAATATTGAAACGAGATACTCTGGAAGATAGACTAGTTTAACTTGTAAAATTGTAATGAGAAGTTACTCTATTTTATTCATATTGATGTGATGAAGAAGTTTGAAAGTTTGGTAACAATTCCAATGAGAACATTATCGGCGGGGATTATATAGATTGTACCCAAGTATCATTTTAATTATATGTGTAGGCAAATTACTTTCAGCCTGTATTGGTAAGGTTGTGTACACCAATATTTTGCAAGAAACACACTAGCACACACTTTTTACTCACACCCGAGTTCGAACTCCTTCCCTCTTCTTTTAAGATGGAAAAGTTATACCATTCCAATAGATGCCCTTTGGTGCAGAGGTTTCATTAGCCCAATGGGTTAGTATTACTGGTGGACTTTGGAGTGCTTGGTTTCGACTCTCTGTATATATAAATAAGTAACTTTTATAAAACTTAATCGGTAAATTTTATGTTATTGCAAATGCAAGACAAGTATCAAAGGTATTTTCTTTTGAAGCAAGATATTCGATTTCCTTGGCATTTGGAACATCAAACTACAAGTCTATTCCTTTTATAGCATTCATCTTGTCAAATTAGTGTGGCAAAAAATTATGGTTGTAAGAGCGGTACGTAAAGCCATTTTTTGGATGGTCCAATACAAAAAGCTATCTGATTTGTTTCCATCAATTATCAAACTATACATGTGACAAAATCATTTTTCAAAATTGAACCAAGGATCGGAGACCATTCAATTCTTGTTTGAACAAAATACAAAAAGGATATATATAAATCTAAAATTGTGGCTGAAGATTTTTTTCAAAAGTTGGCAGAGGATACAAATTACAAAAGGTTGAACCTCACAATGGTAAGAATCCAAATTTCTTAATGGGCAAAAGCAACAAAACGTAGAAAAAACATTTCTACATAATCCTCCAGTACCAAAATAATAATAAAATATAATGACAAACATCTCTAGATTCAAATTAAAAAATGTAAGTCAAATCAACTCGAAGGAGTTGGCTCAAGTAGGTAAGTATTACAAGGAGGATTTGTGCCGTAGAAGACTCGGATGAAGAAGTGAATGGATATTTATGAGGTGTAGCCTACCTAACAACTTTAAGCTAATGGGTAGGATCGCGAAACACCCCAGAGCCAAACTTAGTCAATGATCTGGTGTCATGTCAAACGTCCGACTTGGAGGAGTTCCCAACCCAAGGGCGGATCAAGGGTGGGCGAAGCTGGGCTTCAGCCCACCCCAAATTTTGTTTTTTTTTTTTTTTTTTAACCATACTATTTTAAGCCCAGCCCAAAAAAAAAAAAAAAAAAAAAATAGTACTGGTAGCCCAGTCCAAAGTTAGCCGGTCCAAAATAAGCCCACCCTATTTAGAAAGGCTGGATCCGCCCTTGCCTGCAACCCCAATTCTAATGTTCCAGTCCTCTTGGTTGGAAACGATGGAAAACTAGGAAACTGATCCAACTCACCGTGTTATAATTATAATACCAAAAACTTTTACAAGTGTGAGCAAGGTATTTGTGATCATGAGATAGGGAATGCTAAAAATTTTAGAATCATAATTTATTTTGGGTGAAATTTTGGTAAGGTATTACTAAACCGTGCAACTTGAATAGCCATGTGAAACACCTTTTGACTAATTTATTTTTACAATTAAGTTATATTTTAAAACAATTAATCATTTATTTGAAATTGAAATCCGAGAAAATTTAGTTCGAATTTCAATGAATTTATTCAATACTCCAAAATGAACATTATGATTTTGTTGTTGCATTTCAATTCTTTTCCCTTCTAATATGTCTTATTAAAATAAGTGATTCTTTTTCGGTAATTAATGTACCTTGGGTAAGCTAGGTATGTACAAATCACACACGCTTATTCGCAAATAGAACACATAAAAGAGCACACACAAATAAACATGATGAGATTTACGTGGTGCAACAAATTGGCTATATATGTCCATATTTATAGTCACTATCTCTCTTCAATTATATCCGGATTCATATTTATAGAGTCACTGACGGATCCAGGGGTGGATGAGCCCACCAAAAAAAAAAAAATTTACCATACCTAATTTTAGGCCAGCAAAAAAACACAAAATTTTTTTTACTACTATTAGCCCATCCATTGACAATTTCTAGATTCTCCCTTATAGTCTTCAAATCTATTTATTTGTTGAACAAAAATCTCACAACTTGCCTAAAAGGAGATACCATATCAGCGAAACATGTTAGTTTACTGATCAAGGAGTCTCATTTCATTAAATCATCATGTGCAATGTGACTATACTTTCATCGTATTCTTTCAATCTATAAAATGCATATGAGCTATGATGAAATGAAAGGGACTCACAATAAATATTTGTGATGGACTATTTTGAAAATAAAGTTTTATTATGTAATCATTCTCTATTTATTTCAAATTCGGTGAAGTAGTGTACTGGACCATTTTGAGGAAGTCAATAAAAAAAATAGTTAATGTAGATTTTAGCTGTAAGGTAAGAATTACAAGACTATTTTTCATGATTGGAGAGGAATTACATTGAAGAGGATCCAAATTCCATTTTCATTAGGTCATTGCTAGTCATGTTTGCTCGATTTAAGTGGGATACAAATAAATATTACAAAAATAAAAAATTTAAAAATAAAAAGAAAAATATATATTAAGAATTTTTAATTTATTTATTTTATCTTACAAAAATGGTTAGGCATTTATGTCTCCCTTCCACATGCTTTCAAAGTTGTTTTAGTAACCTTTTGACCGTGGTAGGTAGTTTTCTCTGGTATTTGCAAGTTCTTTGGAGTGTTTACAACTTTATCAAAATGACATGAATTATTCAAAAAAATAATTAATATTAAATAATATATATATTTTTCTTGGAGGTAATACAGCTACTAATAAATATTACAAAAATAAAAAATTTTAAAATAAGAAAGAAAAAAGTTATATTAAGAATTTTTTTTTTTTTTTTTTTTTTTTTTTCACAAAATGGTTAGGCATTTATGTCTTCCATGCTCACGCTTTCAAATTGTTATAGTAACCTTTTAATCATGGTAGTTAGTTTTCTCCGGTATTTGCATGTTCTTCGGTGTGCTTACAACTTTAACAAAACGACATCAATTATCAAACAATAATAATAATAATATTAAATAATATATATATTTTTTCTCTCCCCAACAACTGCTTACAAAGATTGGAACCAAGATCACAAACAAAGGTGGTTCCAAGGAGCGGTATGCTTAACACATGCTTAGGGGCCGAATGACAATATATTATGGCTAGAAACTGAGTTTTGAAACTTGACTAAAGCAAAGTTTTTCTAAATGATCTATCTATCTAAAAATTAGACCCAATGTCACATGATCATGATTTATTAAACGAAATAGAGAGCATAAAATTTTCACAACCAACAAAATTCTTCTTTTGCAAGTACAACCACCAATTTATTATAAGGAATACTAGAGACGACACACGTACAATATCTTATTATTACATTGAAATAGTTCCACAAAATACATAACCAACTCAAACTTTCAGGCTAAGAACACAAAACAACATGAAAATAACTCGTCACACGCACAGACACAAGTTTGTGTTGCCTCAATCACTTTCACCAAGCTTTAAGGACAACACAGATCATCCATTATTATAACTGCATCAAATAGAAATGCAGTTCAATTATTTGAATGATTATCCTCACTTGACAAAGATGGTGTCAAATTTGGGAATGGTGCAACATATGCTCCAATTGAAGTAAGATAGTTGTGAGATCTTCCATGAAATCCGATGATCTTTCCACCAGTGGATGGGAATTGAAATTTCTCTCCATCCTCCTTACCAAATGGTCCGAGCTTTCTTTTGTTGCTTTGAAATCCAAGCGAGCGGATCACAACCATGTTTCCAACTTGGCCATAGTAACCCCAAATTGAAAGCAAAAATTCATCTGAGTCTAATTTGACCTACATAATTTATATTGGTAACAAAAGGGTAAGTATGCATGACACTCATATTTGCATTAATGAAAGATTGAGTATTAAAATCCTCAACAATGAAGAGAAAAAAATTTGTTATTATTATAATCTAATTGTAATAACCTTGGCTTTTGTGTCAGATTAATCTGTACCATGCTTGGAATGAAAAATATAGTTTTGGCTAGGAAATTTGAAAGTCAAATTGCATATATATATATAGACACACACACATACATAATATATTACCGTGTTTGGTGTTCCGCCTTCACCACCATGCTTTGCTCCCAATATTGTATTTCCTTCAATATCATGATGATAGACAACTTGGATGGAATGAATTTCTTCTTCGGAGTTTATAATTAATTCCCTTACCATGCTGTAAGTTCCGTCATCCCACAGATGTCCACTAGTAGTTCCAAATGGACCAACATTAGTTTGGAATGGCTGAATGTGTACTCCAATCAAAACCAAACGAGAAGTACCATTCCTTCCGAAGAATCCAACAATCTTACCAGCAGCTAATGGGGTTATAAAAGGAATTCCATTTTCTGTACCATATGGTCCATATTGCTTTATATTGCTTTGTAATGTAAGAGATCTCACAAAAAGAACTTTATTAGCATTGTACCCATAGTGCCCGGATATTGAAAGGAGGTACTCAGTAGGATAGTCTAATTTTACTTGTAAGATTTCAATTACAAGGACAAACTTAGGTAGTATGACAAATATTGGCAAACCGAGCACACAATAAAAAAATAACAAAAGAAAAATGTGAGGTTCACATTGAAGATTGGCAAAAGGATTTCCAATGTGAATAAACCAAAGATTACAAGTTTTAGGGCACCAATCTTGTCTCTCTCACATTATATTTCGTCTTTTAGTGTTTTCTCCTGACACATTACAAAACTTGACTATAATAGAGACTAGAATAATTGGATAAAACTGGGACACAAGGGGACTCGGGTTGAAACAAAATTTGAGTCACAAATTTACAGGTTTGAATAGTAAGATATGTATATATAGTTCTATGCTTCATAATGTGGATTGTGGAGTTCTAAGATATATGTATATCATTTATGTGTAGTGACGTAGTTAGCAAAATATTTCGGTTGCCGACCAAGGGAGGAGCACCGTCTACAAAGAGAAAGTATACAACACCCCAGGGGTTCGATCTTACACGTTATAGTCCCGCCCAATGGACAGTCATGAAAGCTCTCAAATTGCCTTGATACACGATAACTGGGGAGTTTATAAGAAACATGACCGTGCATTGGCTTTGGATACCACATATAAATACCCCAGCTTGTGTACTTGATAAGGAAAAAAAATTTAGCTAACATGACAAACGAAAGAATAGTGACAGGGTGTTTGAGGATCATCAACTAGGAAAAAACATGACAATTAACAATGCAACAAGACAATAATATGAAAAATAAAAGTGCATGGTGCTACTTAGTACGTGCATATAAATCCTTATAATTTGAATTTTTTTAGCAAATTGTTCACCCAATCATCAATTTTTACCAAATTATTATTATTTTTAATTAGAACTTCGAAATACCCTTTAGCGCATTTTAGGTATTTTAGTCTTTAGTCTTTTTTATTAAAATCCCAAAACTTTTGTAAAAATCCAAAAACCAAACCCAATTTTTTATTTATTTATTTTATAAAAATCCATTTTTTTATATAATAGTTTTTTTTTTTTTTTTTTTTTTTTTTTTTTTTTTTTTTTTTTTTTCTTAAGGGCATTTTATGTATTTTAGACTTCAAATTGAAGAATTGTCCTTATTTGCTCAATTATTAAAAATGTAGTTGTTCTTTGAACACCAGGCATTTGCACATTCTGTATATAACCGAGGTTATTTTTTTGGCACCTACTTTACCCAACACATATTTTTTAGATGTTATGTTGTCTAAGCTAGGTGGTATTCACAGAAAATTAGAGGCAAGACAAATATAGAACCAAATAAATTCGTACGGGAGTCGCAGATTTGAAAATCAAATTGTACATATATAACATATTTATTACCGTATTTGGTTGTCCATAATCACCACCATGCTTTTTCCCAGATACTGGGTTTCCTTCAATATCATCATAGACAACTTGAATGGAATCAATATCCACTCCGGAGTATATAATTAGTTCCCTTACTGTGTTGTAGGTTCCGTCATCCCACTGCTGTCCACCGGCACCTCCATATGGACCAAGAGGTGTTGTTGAGTTGATTTCATGGAATGGCTTAATGTATGCTCCAATCGCATCCAAACAAGTACCATACCTTCCAAAGAATCCAACAATCTTGCCAGCACCTAATGGGGTTCTAAAATAAGTTCCTTCTTGCTTACCATATGGTCCATATTTCTTCACATTGCTTTCGATTGTAAGAGATTTCACAACAAGATATTATTTTCCGTGAGTCGACACCCAAACACCGTAGTGACCAGATATTGAAATGAGGTACTCGGTAGGATGGTCTAATTTCACCTGTAAGATTTCAATTAACTAAGATAAACTTATGTATTACAACAAATACCGGCAAACAACTAACACAATAAATTAATAATAGAAAAACAAAACAATTTTTAAAACTTAAATAAAGAATATTGAATTGTTCAAATAAAAAAAGTCAAAAAAATAAAATAAAAATCTTTGAAAAATATTATGCTAATCGAAGTGTTGTTTAAGAAAGATCGATAAATATTTGACAAATGTAAGAAACAAAGTATTGATTTGTAATATTTCCTTGAGCCTACGTTGTCCCTGACTTTATTTCTATATGATATGATTTGGATCTTGTCTTTAAGATGGTACATATTCATGTATGTTCAACAATTAGAATTGCCAAATGTGGTATAGTTCTTATTTTATTTTATTTTTTTGAGATTTATGTTGCAGAGCTAGCTAGCTTTCACAAAAAATGAGAGGCATGTCAAAAACAAAAATTCAAAATTTTGCATGAGTTGAAGATTTCATTCATATATATATATATTACCGTCTTTAGTGTTCCGCTGCCTTCACCATATTTTTTTCCTGTTACCGGCTTTCCTTCACTATCATATACAACTTGGATGGAATAAATTGAGTCCTCTCCGGAGTCTATAGTTACCTCCCTTACCGTGCTATAGATTCCGTCATCCCACTGACGTGGTGGTCCATAAAAGCCAAATGGCCCGAAAGCAACTGGGAGCCTATTCGCCATGGAGTCCTTAAAGCTCTAGATAAAGCAGTTGTTCAAGTAATTTATCAAAAAGCCATATATATATGTGTGTCTGTGTGATATTTGGGCAAGTATACAATTTGAGAAAAAGTAGAAAGGCATAATTCATTGCTGAGGAATATGGATCCTTAATTAGTTAATGAACCACTTACCAAAGGAATGAAGAGTGAAGTATTTATGGATGTGGAACTGCAACTGATAGAAGTTTGGAGACAAAAGTCCCATTACAGAATGTGTCACAACACTTTTAATTCGGGCAGCACGTTGTGTCCTTTTAATATATTTAAAGGCATTTTTGGTATATATATTGAAGGTGTGCCTCCATAAGTTCAATCAAATAATAATCCTTGGGAGCTTATCGTGACGACACCAACAACTAAAGAAAAGCATATATACTTGAATATGAAGAACAACTACTTACTCACCCTCTGGCTATATATAATTACTGCTTATATTTAACTTTTGGAGGATCAATAGAGAAAAATAAAACAAACATAGAAAAGAAAAAGGTTGGAGATGATGGAAAATACTTACATACCAAAAACAGAAGAGATGGGAAAGGCTGTCAGTTACTAGAAAGAGTTGCCTTGATATACAAGGGAGATGGCATGGATATATATAGCAAACGGAGCCCCATTGAAGGGGTTGGGTGGCACGTGCCACTGGGCCCAATTTGGCTCCTCAATATATACACACACACACACACACATAATTTAATGTATGTAATTTATTAATATTTTTTTAAGTAGTTCTAATATTTTTTATATATACATCTCTTGCTGAAGTAGGCGCACAATACTTAAAAAGTTGGATGTTCGCTTTTAGATTTTGTTAATTTGTTTGCTGATTATTCTTCTTCCTTACACTTGTGTTTTAGTTGGTAATATTTGTTTGAAAGACTGTTTTGTTGGCAATTTATGGGTTTAAAATGGTAGATAAACGACAATAAATAGTTAGTTGTGTGAATTGTGATGTCATGCACTTATTAAGAAAATTTGTGGTATCACACTATGATCTTAATAATAGTAAATAAAGTCGTTGGGTGTCAATAGTCACCATCTTGTGTAATTAAATGTGTCAAATTTATTAAATTTTTATATAATATGTCATTATGTGATTGGTTATAGTCTCAGAGAGCATGTAATAATTTCTTGTGTTTATGCTTTGTAATTAACACATTCATTCAAGTGCTAAGAAAATTTTTTTGAACATTCACAAATTAGTAAATCAAATGTGTCAAATTTAAGTGCACGTTCATTTGTAAACTTCAAAGGTATTGGACCATTCACAAATTAGTGCAGTTATTTGAATTTTTTTTTTTTAAAATTAAATATATAAAATAGTATTTAAAGAGAGACATAATATTTTTATTTTAAATTATACATTTTTAAATTTATTGGTTTTAAGAATTTGCAAGCCAAACAAATTTAAAATTTTTGAAAAAAAATAAACAAATTTAATTTAATTTTTTTTCACTTTTAGAAAAATGAATCCAAGAGATCTGGAAGTTTCTATTCAGAAAGTCGTGTTTGTGTGGCAAGAAAGTTGTACATAAACCCATTCTGGATGGTTCGGGTGCTGTAAACGTCCTTACCATGCCAATACGAAAGTTTTTTTGGGATTATTTTCCATCAATAATGAACTATATATGTCCAAAAAACCATTTTTCAAAAGCCAGCAAAGGATAAGAAACCATCCAAATTGACGTGTGAACAATTACAAAAGGACAAATTTCTTGATGGACAAACCAGCAAGCCATCAAAAGTATTCGTATCCCCATATTCTAAATTCAAAATATGGGGAAAATATTCTTAGGTTGAGAAAGACGAGTGAATTTGATTCAAGTGAACAATTAGAGAAATACCAGTGTGGATGCTCCAAATTTCTTAGCCAAATTAACTAAAGGAGTTTGATTCATGTGAAAAGTGTTGGGTTTGTGACTCAAAATTTGTGCGCAGAAAATTAGTTTCCTTTTTCGTTTTGAAAGGCTAAAATTTGTGAAGGAAATAGTATCCCATTATGTTTCTATTTTAGAGTTTTGATCATTATAATAACTCTTTGTAAGCAAGTTGAGGAATATATATCCAACAAGGAATTGAGTTTGAAGGCTTTATAAATAGAGATGGGTGTGAGAGTTTTAGAGAGATAGAGAGAAGAGAGAAGAGATATAAGATGTAAAGGGTTTAAGGTTGAGTGTTGTAAGGAGAGGGGAGAGTATATTTAATTACTGAGTGTATACATTTAGCCTCAAAAGAGATGATGACTGAGTGAGTGGGGCTTTTATATGTGGTTGTATATTCTCTTCCTTGATTCATAATAGTGAAATCTATCTTTCCCATGGACGTAATCCTAAAGTTGGGTGAACCATGTAAAATACTGTGTTTGTGTGTTGGTGTGTGTAATTATTATCTCCATATAAACTTGTATTGATGTGATGTGATAATGCTTCTGCTGTGCGTAATGAATGAAGAATTTAACTCTCAATAATAATCGATCGTTGAGTGAGTTGGTAAAGTGAGTTGGTAGGAATTAATTATTCCAACAAAAAGATGGAAAAATATAAGCCTGAGTATTGCATACATCCAAATTAATTTCTTAATGATAATGAAATGAGCTAGAGTTATCATTGTAGATATTGCATGGACCCGGCATTGGATAAGCTATTTGTGGTCATGTTTGAACAAAGTTTCAACCCCATAATTGTAAAAACCCAAATTTCTTAATGGACAAAGCAACAAAACGTGGAAAGCATTTGTATCCCATCTCTAAGAAAATAATAAAAAATATAATGACGAGAACTAAATGCAAGTTCACTTGAGTTGATATTATCGAGTATTTAACCACCACCACCACGCTTGTTATAGTACCAATAGTATCTCTAATATTGTTAAAATTTATAAAAATTGAAGAGAAAAATTAAACAAGAAATAACAATATATGTGGTTCAATTTACAGGAAAAAAAAATATATAATTTAGCAAAAAAATATTGTACGTGGTTCAGCCTAAATTTCTTTATAATCTCTCTTGATTTTGATTATAATGATCACTTCTATTTATCAGTGAGTAATTTAGGAAAGTCTTACTTTACAAGTATTTTTGTTCTATAAAATTATTATTATTAAAGTCAAATATCAATATGGTCACAACTTGCTGCTCATGAAGAGTAACGTTAAGAAATATTAGAATGAGATACTCCGAAAGATAGATCAGTTTAACCTGTAAGTTACTTTATTTTATACGTGTTGATATGATGAAGAAGTTCGAAAGATTGGTAGTAATTCCAATGAGAACACTATGGGTGGGATTGTATGCAAGTTATTCAATACAATGTTTGTTTTTAGGTTCCCGCGCACCACATTTTGTTTTATCCATATCACTTAACTTGACATCAATATCAGATAAATCACAAATAATTTTGTAAAACTCACCAAGATGTTCTTGTATTCTTACCCCTTTTTTTCTCCTAAAACAATACGACTCTTACTTCAAGATCGACTAACTGGTTGATGAGATTCTTTCCCATATATAGATTTTCCAACTACTACCACATATCTGCTATTGAATCTTCTTCTATCACATCATACACAATATCACCGGCCAACGTCAATCCAATCGCACTCATTGCCTTCGAGTTGATCTTCTCCCAATCTGCATCTTCCATCTTTTCCTATTTCTTACATTTTCTTCTCCCAATCTGCATCTTCCATCTTTTCCTATTTCTTACATTTTCCTAGTCCTTGCTAAATGAGTAAATATTGCGTCCGAACTTGCCAAACGTACTTTTCTTCGGTAATAGTTGCCACCTGCTTTTTTTCTTCTCACAAATTCGACTCACTTTTTCTCTCTACAATTATCTCTTTTCTCTTTCTACCTCTCTCTATCCAAACCCATCTCTATTTATAAAGTTTTGAAAACTTAATTCCTTTTTAGACAAGAATTATAACACTTGTCTACAAGGAGTTTCTAAATCAATTTCAACTCTGAAAATAGAAACAGACACAATTTCTTTCCCAAATTTCAGTCTTCCAAAATAGAAAACAAAACTAATTTATGCAATTTTGAGCCACAAACCAAACATTACCAACTAGGAAGGAAATCTATATATATATATATAATGTCGTCTCGAAAAAGATATATATAGTAAGGGTGGAGGAGGCCTTGACACAACGGTAGCATCTCCGCATGCTCTGGTTATGTTTGCATACACAAATATTTTGCAAGAAACACACTTGCACACATTTTTCCTCACACTCGGGCTCAAACTCCTTCTCTCTTCTTTGAAGATGAGGAGTTTATACCATTGGACCAAATACATTTCGGTTATATATATATATATAGATAAGTGACTTTTATAAAACTTTATTGGGAAATTTTGTTTGTTGCAAAAGTATGGCAAGTGAGCAAGATATTCGATTTCCTTGGCATTTGGAGCATCATATGTACCAAAAATTGTATTCCTTTTGTAGAATTCAGCTAATCAATTTTGTGTGGCGAAAAAAATATGGATGTTAGAGCTTTACATAAAGCCATTTTTTGGATGGTCCAACACAAGAAGCTAGCTGATTTGGTTCCATCAATTATCAACTATACATGTGACAAAATCATTTTTCAAAAGCAAATGAAGGATTCATGTTTGAACAAATTACCAAAAAGGGATATATATATACTTTTTACTTAGTAACCAACGGGGTTAGTGACCACGTAATACTATATATATATATAGTCGTGAAAAGGAACTTCTGACCTCTGTTTAAAAAGTAGAGGTCTAGTATTACGTGGTCACTAACCCCGTTGGTTACTAAGTAAATAAATGTTATATATATATGTGTGTGTGTGTGTGTATATTTATTTATACGTATAAAAAAGAATTACCTGTAATACAAGATTCAAATTATGAAATTTATTCATGATGTGTATCACTGCTTAAAGCATTTGTATCCCAATTATTCCAAATTCAAAATATGGGGAAAGTATTCTCAAGTTGAGAAAGACGATTCAATTGGATTCAAGTGAACAATTAGAGAAATATGAGTGTAATGTATGGGATGCTCCAAATTTCTTAGCTAGCCAAATTAATCAAAGAAAGTTTGATTCATGAGAAAAGATGGAAAGATATTCCAAACATCCAAATTAATGACGATGAAATGGTGTCGATCAGTGAGCTCGAGTTCTCATTGTAGAGCAAGCTAGCTAGCTACTCGAGGACTTTCACTCTCCACATTTGGACCGCCATTATTCCAACAAGTATGTCTATTCCTTGTGTTGCAAAAAAAAAACAACGCATCAATGTGAAAGCTAAGCTGTTCATAATTAAAGCTTGTATAGTTGGTCCCGATTTGTTTCCATCAATTATCAGAAGCATTTTTCAAAGGACAGCAAAGGATACGAGACCATCCCAATTCATGTTTGAACAATGCTTTAACCTCATAATTCTAAAAATCCAAAATTCTTAATGGACAAAGCAACAAAACGTGAAAAGCATTGGTATCCCCTTATAGGAAAATAACAAAAAACAATGGGTCTACTTTATCCTTCTATTTTTGAAGTTTTTGTGTTTTTTTTCTCTTGGAATGTAAGAGATTGAACAATAACGTAACCACCGCCACCTTGGATGTTATTGTATATACCAATAGTACCTGTTAAAATATATAAAAATTGAAGAGATAAATTAAAAAAGAAACAACAATACACGTGGTTCAGTTCAGCCTATTTTTTTTATTTTTTATTTTTTTATTTTTTTATTTTTATGATGAGTAATGTTGACAAATATTGAAATGAGATACTCTGGAAGATAGACTAGTTTAACTTGTAAAATTGTAATGAGAAGTTAGTCTATTTTATACATATTGATGTGATGAAGAAGTTTGAAAGTTTGGTAACAATTCCAATGAGAACATTATCGGCTGGATTATATAGATTGTACCCAAGTATCATTTTAATTATATGTGTAGGCAAACTACTTTCAGCCTGTATAGGTAAGGTTGTGCATGTACACCAATATTTTGCAAGAAACACACTAGCACACACATTTTACTCACACTCGAGTTTGAACCCCTACACTCTTCTTTGAAGATAGAAAAGTTATACCATTCAATTAGATGCCCTTTGGTGCAGATGCCTTGATAGCCCAGTGGGTTAGTGCCACCGGTGGATTTTGAAGTGCCTGGTTTCGACTCTCTATATCTACTAATCTAACTTCTAACCCTTCTTACCCTACGAACAAAAAAAAAAAAAAAAAAAAATATTATCCCAAGAAGAAAAAGGATAACTTTTGGTACTTCCAGTGTAAATCAAAGAAGATATTCCTCATTGTTGCAGCTCCTGAAAATAATAAAGGTTGGAAGAGTCGTTTCTTTTTTATTTCTGATGCATACGGGAAATTTCCAAGTTTTTGGAGTAATTCAGATCCTGCAGGTAAGACTTATATACATATATATATATATATATATATATATATTTTGGCCCCAGGCACTATTTGAACAATAATTTTTTTTTTTTTTTTTAATTTTTTAGAATTGCAACTTATAATTCCTTTTTCCAAACTTTAAGGACAAACCAGTTCTCTCAGCCCAAGAGGAGAAATATGTAGATAATGCCTTTGCTTACCAAGTGAAGACCTTTAGTGATCTTATGACTGATGAAGCTTTAGAATTGTACGTTCGAGCTACTAGCTCAATTGAAACACCCACCCATTCAGAGAAAGGTAAGAAAAAAGAAGGTACCTATATGTAAACTTACTAGATTTAGTTAATCTTTCATTATATATTTTCCTTATTACTTTTTATGTAGGCAAGAAACTTAGTAAAAGGCTCCTGCCCAAGTCTGGTCAAGTAATCTTCCCTCTACTCATACTTTCAAAACATTACGAAGGGTAGGAGAGAAAAATCATAGTAGATCTTCAAGCTCTGGAGTGTTATTAGGTTTCAGTAAATTTGGTGGGGTTCCTACGGGTTTCGACAGTTTTGGTTCGGTGTCGACTTCCACCAACCAAACCTTTGCCCATGGGGAATCGACTCTTGATAATGCTAATGTCGCGTATGATAGGTTACATAAAATGGTGGTAAAAGATGACATTGTCAGATTACAGAATCTGCCTGCATCTGAGCTTTTACGAAAATTTCTTCATCTAATTAGCCAGGTGAGACTTTACTCTTAACATATGCATCCCTTTCTTTTTTTTTTAACTATTTGCCAATATTTATTTATTTATAGGGCACTACATACTCTGTTGCCATTGCAAAAGAATACGAGAAGCTTTCCCTAGAGATAGCTTTCCTCAAGCCTAAATACGAAGATGTTACATACTCTGTTGCCTTTCTCTTTTTTTTTTTTTTTTTAACTATTTGCCAATATTTATTTATTTATAGGGCACTACATACTCTGTTGCCATTGCAAAAGAATACGAGAAGCTTTCCCTAGAGATAGCTTTCCTCAAGCCTAAATACGAAGATGTTACTTCTATACTTAAAAATAAAGAAGATGACTTGGCTAATGCAAAATTAAGCTTTCAAGATGAGAAAGTGAGACTTACCAAAGAATACTTTGATAAGTTGGAACTTACGAAGGTAGTTGCCGTGGAGAGCTTAAAAAATTCTAACGAGTTCAAATTGCTCATAGGCAAGGCCTGATGTGATGGTTTTGACTAGTTTAAAGCTCTTGTCAGCAAAGATCGTCCAGACATAGATTTTGCTATGTATGATATTCTAGCTGAGAGCGAAGAGGAAGATTGAGCTCTATAGTAGTAGTTATATATATATATATATATATATATATATATATATATATATATATATATATATATATATATTTTAAGTTTGCTTTGCTTTCTTAGAATGTCGCTCCCTTAATTTCTCTTAATTCAGAATATAGTTGTGTTGCTTTTGACATTTTGTCTTGTATGATGTTGTTCCATGCTTATTATTTCTTTATGTAGAATTCCTTTTCTATTGATGTGGCTCTCCCTTTGTGGTATTGAACATAAAGGAATATTCAAACACTTTTTCAGGCTTCACTCAGCCCTTCCTTCTTTTGAAGGAATGTGTTGTTACGAGCTTCACCCATCTCGTCCCTTCAATAAGGGAATGTCAATTATTTCTTTTAATAAAGAAATGGACTTAACATTTCACTAGTCCTTTCATAACTCAATAGTAATATCGTCAGTAGTAGAAAAATATAAAATAAAGACGAATAAATGTTTTTATTAACAAAACTTATCGAAAATAAAATTCGACAGTCGATCATCAGCATTTAAGGAATGCTGGTTCGCTTTATTGAAGCTAAAAAACATACTATCACTTTAAAAGTGAGATAATAAAAAACCATAACCTGGCATAAGTACCTACTGGTAATATTTCCTCAAATGTTCTGCATTCCATAGGTGGGGAAGTTGGTTTCCACCAAGTGTCTCTAACCAATATGCCCCCGGTCTGTTGCTCTGGGTTACTCGATAGGGGCCCTCCCAGTTGACGCTAACTTTCCTTCCCCCTTTTCCTTAGTAGCCGGGGTAACCTCACTAAGCACCAGGTCTCCTGGCTCGAACCTCCTTAGCTTGACCCGAGCGTTGTAGTACTTGGATACCATCCGCTGGTAAGCTGCAACCTTGACTTGGGTCTGCTCTTTTTTTTCTTCTACCAGGTCCAAGTTTAACCGTAGTCCTATCTT